CACTGCTTAAAAGAAGCGGGAAGTCTATATATAATATGGGAAGGAGAGGACTGTGTTAAAAAAAAAAAAAAGAGGGCACAGCTGCATGATTTACTTGCACTAGACTTCTTTGCAAAAGAGTTTTACGAACATCACAAAGTACAGCCACCTGTTAAGCTGTTATTTTGGCCTATCTATTTTCAATGTCAATCTTGACACCCAAGCAAGAGACACACCACCATAGCAACATACTAGTAAACATCACGGTGATGGAAAGTAAAATTTTAAGAAGCAACTCATAGCCCCTGCAGGGCTGGAAATAAATTAATCCATTTTTTACTATAACATAACATTCCCACTCTGCAAACTCAGATCCTCTGGGTATCTATCTTAGAATTCCTTCCCATGAGCCATGTGGAAAGTAGACACTCCAAGTGTACTAGGTGGTCCCCCTAAAATAAAGGGGTTTAAAGTGTGAGACAATGCAGTGGATAGAGCGTCGGCCTGCGGACTGAAGGGTCCTGGGTTCAATTCCGGTCAAGGGCATGTACCTGGGTTGCGGGCACATCCCCAGGAGATGTGCGGGAGGCAGCTGATCGATGTTTCTCTCTCATCGATGTTTCTAACTCTCTATCCCTCTCCCTTCCTCTCTGTAAAAAATCAATAAAATATATTTTAAATAAATAAATAAATAAATAAAGTGTGAGACAATGATCATTTTGTGCATAGCTCAGGGAATGCATGTTTACTATGTATTCATGCAGTACCCACAGATGGGCAATTATCATCACCCCTTACATTTGTAGGCTCCATATCTCATGTGATCAGTCTTCGATGGAGTCAAAAAGAGAAGTAGTTGACAGCTGGGGAAACTGAGGCACAGGAAAATTGAGTCTTCCTAAAACAATTCATGGATTATCACACAGCAAGAATTCAGCCAGTTCTTCTAAGTCAGTGGTTCTCAACCTTCCTAACGCCGCGACCCTTTAATACAGTTCCTCATGTTGTGGTGACCCCCAATTTCATTGTTACAAATTGAACATAATTAAAGCATAGTGATTAATCACAAAAACAATATGTAATTATATATGTGTTTTCCGATGGTCTTAGGCGACCCCTGTGAAAGGGTCGTTCGTCCCCCAAAGGGGTCGCGACCCACAGGTTGAGAACTGCTGTTCTAAGTCCATGCTCACACTCACTATACTGCACCAGCCCACACCAGAAAACCCAAATAGGACATCACAAGTGATAAAATGCAAAGTGTTTAATTAAATGAAAGGGTAGAGAAAAAATGAAAGAAAAATAACGTTTGGAAGTAATTATACTTCTTTACAATGATGAAACTCCCTGAGGGAGCTGGGGCAATTACCAGGACTTCAAATGTGACCGCTGTCAGTTTTGGCTGATTTGCAATTCAAAAAGACCCAATAAGAACAGAAAGAAAGCTGATCTTCCAGCTAGAAGATGAGACACACCCAGAGGGTGTGTCGTGGGGGAGGCATAGGGCGGTGGCGTGCCATCAGGAGTCTGCATCGGGTGAGCGGGTTCCATCCCAGGGCAGATCTGAGCCCAGAGGTCAGCAACACAGGCCTGGACTCCAATCCAATCCCAAAATTCGCTGCCTCTTTTTTACTTTGTTCTGAATTTTTCTCAGTCTGAGCGGCCTGTAAGGCTCTTGGCAGCTTCTTCTCCAGGTCCACAGAAGAGACAGTCCAAAGGCCAGGGGAACACTCAGTGTAGCATTCCGCAGATGACGAAGAGATGACTCTATGATGAACCTTCTGTGAGGCCAGGGATTTGGCTGCTTTTGACCTAAGAACCAGTTCTGAACCTCTTTGAAAAATTAGACGATTTCTGACAGACACAAGCAACATTTTTTTTTTCCAAAAAGAAACAACTCCTGGAGGAGTTGTGGGCAAAAGGCTGAACACCTACATAAATAATGGCTAATTTTAAATGCACTTGACCTTTTTGGAAGTGTTTTTCTTGAAAAGGCTTAAGGGAATTATTCCATTTGAACAACTAATAGCCTAATTACTATATTTTTAAAAAACAACCACCAAGCTCCTTTTCAGCCAGATCTTGGCAAGAAATCGCTGAAGCACACCCATATCTGCAGACCCACAAGTCACATTGCTGAAAAACATAATTACACTCGGCGGTGTCCAAATTCCCATCAGGCACAATCCAAAAGAAGTGAACTATTGAATCCCGAATCTAAAGGTTTCTCATTTTGGACACGGTGCCTCTTAATGAGCAGCAAAAACATAATATAAAAAAATGAACATTCATCATGGCCTTCAATGGTCCAGGGTGTGGGTCTCCCGCACACTCGGTACAGTCTGTACCCTACTGAGTGAATGTAATTCCAGTGACCCTACTCTCTGCACTTAAGGGAGGGAGGGGATTCAATAACCATATTTCATATCTTTAAACCTGTCTCACTGAACAAAAGAACCATCCATTTTCACAGCATTTTTAAAATATTGATAAACCACTTTTATCCACTGCATCACTTTTATGGAGGCTGAATGACCAGAATGATGGATATGTGTGAAAAGATATTAAGGGGCCACATTAGTCTTTTCATCCACAGCAGCAGCATCATAATTTCAGATCACGGCAAACTCAGCAAAATGTTCTTCATGGAGAACTATGTCACCAGGGCACTACCTGTAAGGAACTAACACGTTTCAGAAGACATGCCCCTGTTTTCAGAACTACCTGTCCATACAAGCCAGTGATTACGTCTTGTTTTCTCAAACATCTATCCAGTGTTGTTTCTCTGTTTTGTTTAATAGCTAATGACTGGTTTAACAAGGGTTTTGTTTTCTATGACTCTGTATTACAAGGGTCTAATATTTCAGGTGCATTAGAGGTTAAATACACCTGTAATGTTGCCCAGACACACTGGAAAATGCTCTCAGACTGGATCAAAATGCAGGACTAACATGTTTCTAGATCCCATTATTTTCTTGGATAGTGCATGGAACAAACTTCTCCTTGACAGTGGCAGGACCATCATCCCATAAAATGGAATGAAATCCAGGTTGTCAGCTAGTGAGTTAAAAACTCTATCTATAGACATCACTAAGAAAATTGGACAAGAATGAAAATGTAACAAAATTAAATGACTTAAATTATTTTGTTCTCCTAAGTTAAACATTTATAAAATCCTAAAAGAATAAAATGAAATAAGATTTTAGCCCTGGGTGGGTTGGTTGGAGTGTCATCCCATACACCAAAAGGTTGTGAGATCGATCCCCAATCAGGGCACGTACAGGAGGCAACCAATCAATGTTTCTCTCTCACATAGATGTTCCTCTCTCTCTCTCTTCCTTCCTCTCCCTCTAAAAATAAAAACATATCTTCGGTTGAGGATTTTTTAAAAAATATTCCTTAAAAAACTCACATTTAACTACACTTCCTTATTCAGAAAAAGGGTCCAATTAATATCTATTTCCTCCTGCGCCCTGACTGGTTTGGCTCAGTGGATGGAGCATCGGTCTGCGGACTCAAGGGTCCCAGGTTCGATTCCGGTCAAGGGCATGTACCTTGGTTGCGGGCACATCCCCAGTGGGAGGTGTGCAGGAGGCAGCTGATCGATGTTTCTCTCTCATCGATGTTTCTAACTCTCTATCCCTCTCCCTTCCTCTCTGTAAAAAATCAATAAAATATATTAAAAAAAAAAAATATCTATTTCCTCCTGGGACAGGAATAAAGCATTATCATTAATCAAATATGCTGTCTTCTATGTTAATAGAAGAACACTTGTCAGTGCCAACCTTGTTTGTTTGAAATGCTTCTAAAATGCCAGGTACTTTTTCCTATCTTAGTATTTTAAACAAAAAAGGACTTTTCTGTTAGATGACAAGATAGTATTAGGTACCCCTGAATTTAAATTTTCAAGCACTTCAGTTGTTGCTGCAAAGGTATAGGTCATTATCTGAGTCATCAATGCCACCCAAAATATGGATATGGATCCATCTTGTCATATTCTGCCTTTGAAAGAAAGCAGAACTCAGGAAAAATTCTAGTTAGTTTCCATTAATTTAACTTCTATTGGCTTTATTTCAGGAAATGGTATATGAGTTTAATGATAAATAGAAAGGAGACTTAAAAAAGACAAACTGCCCTAAACCGGTTTGGCTCAGTGGATAGAGCATCAGCCTGCAGACTCAAGGGTCCCAGGTTCGATTCTGGTCAAGGGCATGTACCTTGGTTGCGGGCACATCCCCAGTGGGGGGTGTGCAGGAGGCAGCTGATGGATGTTTCTCTCTCATCGATGTTTCTGACTCTCTGTCCCTCTCCCTTCCTCTCTGTAAAAAAATCAATAAAATATATTAAAAAAGAAAAAAAGAAAAACTGAACAGCTACATCAAACAGTAAATTCATACAGACAAAGTAAAATGGCAGTTGCTAGGGGCTGGAGGGAGGCAGAATTGGGAATTATTGCTTAATGGGCACAAAGTTCCACTTTTACAAGATGACTTTTAGAGATGGATGGTGGTGACGGCTGCCCCAACAGTGTGAATGTACACTGAACACTATACTTAAAAATTATTATTTTTTTACAAACTAACCAGAATTTACACATCCGACCAATTAAGTGTGGTCCCTTCAAATAGCTCATTTTAGGTGGTTACATGTTTTTTCCAACACTGCTGACAAAGAGCAAAACATCTCTGAATCTCCACTGTGGAATGAAAGGCAGGTTTGTTTGGGTTTTTCATTGTTTTAAAATTCTCGATCCTGGTAAATGTCTTTTGAGGCTAATATTTTTTTTCTTTAAAAAAAAAATATGGCCCAAACCGGTTTGGCTCAGTGGATAGAGCGTCGGCCTGTGGACTGAAAGGTCCCGGGTTTGATTCCGGTCAAGGGCATGTACCTGGGTTGCGGGCATATCCCCAGGAGGAGATGTGCAGGAGACAGCTGATCGATGTTTCTCTCTCATCGATGTTTCTAACTCTGTATCTCTCTCCTTTCCTCTCTGTAAAAAATCAATAAAATATATTTAAAAAAAAAATATGGAACACTTCACAAATTTGCATGTCATCATCCTTGCGCAGGGGCCATGCTAATCTTCTCAGTATCGTTCTGATTTTAGTATATGTGCTGCTGAAGCAAGCACGAGGCTAATTTTTAATTTGGAAAAAGAAAAAGTTCCATTTTCAAAAGAAATCATTGTATGAAGTTAAAATGTGTCATGGAAGTCCACATGAGGGGCTAACTTGTGCACGGGCTTAGTAAACTGGCTCTGGATGAAATGCTAACAAAGGTGAGCCATCTCAGCAGGGGGGGCAAATAAATATAGCGGTGGGCAAAAGCAGGTTCAAGTGTGACTAGTACATTTTGGTCATTTTTCATGCCCTCCACTTTGCTTACCTCCACAGGAAGTTTTAAGTTTTTGACTAAATGTGTCAAAAAATATGGTGTCGCTTTGTCTGTTCCCATCATTATTTTTAGATCCCGAGTTTGAGAAAGCTCACAGGTGCTCATCAGTGAACATCTCTGCTGCTGATGTCTATAAAAGCCAAAGGTTTTCACTGCCATTAAAAGGAATAATTTTCAAAATTGTAGAGGTGGTTCTTTTTTTAGAGCATGAACTACAAGTTATTTTCAAAGGAGTATGACTCATTTATCAAAGTTAAGCTGAGGAATGTCACTTGGTTTAGTACTTGGGTAAAATTGATCATTCAATGGATAAAACTTGTGGACCACTCTCTCACCTTAACCGGAATACAAGACCTGCCTTCCCCCAACTATTTTCTTTGATAATCCTGAACAAGTTATTTAATCTTTAATAAATCACCACTAGTGCTCCTTCCAGCTTTAGGATTTTAAGGAAGGTAAAACTGGGTAGAGGAAAGAGCATGCCTAAGGAGTAGGGACCACCTAGGTGGGAATCCAAGTCTATCACTGATCAGCCATGCAAGCACCCCTGGTCCACATTTGTAAAGTGGGATGATAATATCTCACTCACAGGGCCATTCTGAGGACTAAGTGAAATAAGAAGACACTCCACAAGTGTAATTTCTCTCTTTCCCTCCTTTGCACGTGAAATGTGGCTGCTATCAGTCCAAGCATATAAAATAGAAATAAAAATTTAAAACACTTTCCAAACAGTGTTTCATGGAATGCACTGCTGAGGCATATAGTGCTGACTATTTTATTATGTGCATAAAAGCAAGGTTAGTGCAAGGCCACACTCAACCAGACCTTGTGACACAGATCTAGCTCCTAAGACAGTCATGGCAAGTAACTTTCACAATTTATGTGAGACATGAAGACAGAGATGGCTCAGATAAGCAAAATGAACAGTGAAACCCTTGGCTTTCAAAGCACTGTTCAGTTCTCCACAATTCTTTCCGGAAGTCTGGGTTCAATACTCATCAACAGGTCATATCACTGTCTCTATAAACTGGCGATACATGTTGGAAACTTTTTGGCCAGAGAATCAAGAGATAAGTGACGCTTTGCCATTTTAGAAATAAATAAGTAAATCCCACTAAAATGTTTAAAACAGACAAAAATATTACACAGCTTTGGGGAAATACAAACAATCTAGCAAATAAGACCCAGTGCACTTGAAGGTTTCAACAACTTCATTATACAGCAGCTCCCCACCCCCTACCCATAGTTTTACTTTCTGCGGTTTCAGTTACCTGTGGTCAACCAGGTCTGAAAATACTAAGTGGAAAATTTCAGTAATAAGCAATTCGTGTTTTTAGTTGTGTGCCATTCTGAGTAATGTGATGAGATCTGGCAGGGTCCCCCTCTATCCCACCAGAGACGTGAATCATCCCATTGTCCAGCACATCCACACTGTATATGCAACCCACCTACTAGTCCCTGAGTAGCCAACTCATTTATCAGACTGTCGCAGCCTCGGAGTCCTTGTGTTTAAGTAAACCTTATTCTACTTAATAATGGTCCCAAAGCATTCATATAACTTCTATTACATATATTGTTATAACTGTTCTATTTTATTATTAGTTATTGATGTTAATCTCTTACTGTGCCTAATTTATATGTTAAACCTTATCATAGGAATGTGTAGGTAAAAACATAGTGTATATGGAGTTTTTGGTACTACCTATGGTTTCAGGCATCAACTAGGGGTCTTGGAACACATCCTGAGGATAAGCCGGGACTACTGGATTAGCATCCAAGTTAGTGGTGAATTCTCATTTTTCTTCTCAATATATTGATTGGTAATTTTTTGGTGTAAAAAATAACCCAAAAAAACTATTGTTCAGAAAACACCTTAATATAGCAAATATAATCAGACCTGAAAGTGTGTGTGTGTGTGTGTGTGTGTGTGTGTGTGTAGATGACATGAGACAGGGAAGCAGTCTTTGGAGATTAGCTTGCTCAAATTAGATGCTTAAAACAACATGACTATAGGTTGTCATCATATTACATGTGTTTGGCCAATCTTCTCTAGGTGATTCATTCTGGGAAAGAAACAACACCCTAAAGATCAGCAGACATAATTCTAGAGGAATTAAAGGATGATGGGGTTTTTCTCTTTGCTTGGGAGCAACAGGAATTCTAGAAGGTCATGCTTCACCGAAAGGAGCAAAAAAAGAAAAAGAAAAGAAGGGAAGAGTCATTGAATAAATTTGCTCAAGAACTTATGTTAGCTACTTGTTCAGATATATGAGTCGGCTTCCACTAAAGTCTACAAAGGAGTTTTAAGAGCAGGCCCCTTTTGTCAGATTGCTGGGAAATGAAGGAATGAGTCACTTTAATATTTGATGTCAAAATCTTGGTGAGCTCTGGTTTTCTGCTTCTAAATCAACAAACAGCAATGCACAATGTTGCACAGGCAGTCAGCCAGGAAGTGGTGGATGACCCCAGACTCCTTCCTCTGTCACTCCTTCCGCAGCCACCACAGTGGGTCTTGTGCAGTGGGGTTCCCTTCTAGTGATCTGCCATCCTGGGAGATAATGCCCAGCCTAACGGGGCAGGATTTTGCCATCCTAGACTGAGTCTATTGAGACACAGTTTAAATAGCTAGTTAGCTTCCATGACGAGAGGTCTTAAGGCAAAGGATTCAACTCCCCCATAGAACCATCTCTTCCCCAGAAATGTGTATTCTAGGATTTATTCTGCTAACACATTACTTCCCATTTGATGAGTATAGAAAGCAGAGTCGTGCACTTGGAGCCATAGCCAGAAAGGTACCCAGGTGGGGACCTTCATGATGGCCACCAGCCTCTGTCCCCTTGACATAGGACTGGGGGTTCAGAGGGTTGTGACATGTGTCAGTCAGTGAGCCCTGCAGTTGGCCTTACTTTGAATAGTTGGGTAACTATTCAAACTGTGATTACTTTTTCCCCTTTAAGTATGAAGTTCTGACCTAAATTGTGGTCATTCTGATCCAATCTGGCAGATTTTTCCCCTCACAGCTATGTAAGAGAACAACCTCCTTTGGAAAGCAAGACTTAGGACAACCACAGCCATCTCCTTGAGGACAGGTACCATGTACTCATAACTCAAATTCCACACGTCTGTCAACGGCTCGCTCTCTCTGAACATAGATTGTCTATTCTGCTGGGAAAAAATCCATAGGCACCTCTTTAAAAACAAAAACAAACAAACAAACAAACAAACAAAACAGCTTTAGCCCAGCCCGCATGGCTCAGTGGTTGAGCGTCGACCTATGAACCAGGAAGTCACAGTTCGATTCCTGGTCAGGGCATATACCAGGGTTGCCTGCTCAATCCCCAATGTGAGGCATGTAGGAGGTAGCTGTCATCATTGATGTTTCTATCTCTGTCTCTTTTCTCCCTTTCCCTTACTCTCTGAAATAAAATGTAAAACAAAAAATAAACAGCTTTATTGAGATGTATTTTATATACCAACTCAATGGTTTTTAATATATTTACAGAGAGTTGTGCAACCATCACCATAATCTACTTTATAATGGCAATGAAACTTTATAATGGCAAGGTCATCCAATGGCCTGTGGACTGTAAGCTCTAGGATGACAAACAAGTAAACAAATAAATAAAACAAGTACTGCCTATGATAGAAATAAGTGCAGAGATAAAGAATAATGGGGAAAAATTATTTTAGATGGAGTGGTCAGGAAAGACGTCCCCTGAGGAGGCGACATTTCCACTTATATACCCACAAGTTTTCTGTAAACTTTCAAGTTGTTTTTTTTTAAGACTATTTTATTTTATTGATTTTTAGAGAGAGAAACATCAATGTGAGAGCACAACATGGACCAAATGCCACGTCCCCGACAAGGGACTGAGCTGCAACCCAGGCATGCCCTGACCAGGATTCAACCTAGCAACCTTATAGTGCATCGGACAACACCCAACCAACTAATCCACACCAGCCAGGGCTAAACTTTCAAGTTTTCACACATGGCAGCAGCAGGGGCTGGGAGCCTGAGAGGGGTCAGCTGCAGGGCCATCATACTGCCCTATTTCCATTGGGTTCCATATAAATGGCACCCCGCAGGTGTGCACCCCTGAGACCCTGTTTGTTTATATGAATTGTTTGTAAGTTTCTGTAAGTTGGAGGATGTGTGGTCTGAAAAATCAAGCTTCCAAGATAATTTTTTCAAACAACTTTACATTTTCCAGATATGATTTGTTTTCCTGTTTTAATACTTATAATACACTTGGAATTTATCTGCCATGTGGCCTACAAAAAAATCTCCACTGGGGAATACCACAAAATTCCTTACTTCAAGCATGAGCCAGGGAGGCCAGGCAGTTAGCAGACTGCAATCTGAAATTCTCTTTTTCTCTCCCAGTGGGCTGAGTTTGCTCAAGATATGTAAAAACCTTCCTGACTTCTTACTACAAATCAGGTGATTTCTATATCTGTCTTTTTCTCTGAACAGAGGCAGAAGTGTTCGCTGGTTTTCAAAAAGGTTTTCAGAGTTATTTGACCATACGGACCTCCAGGCAACAGAAAGCAGGTGCCCTCCCTCAGGTGGCTAAAGCAATGAACCTCAACGGACTTTTCCAGTAATCACTGCCCCTGAAAAACACATTTACTGCCTGTCACCATGCACACACTTTTAAATTTAAAACGACTTTGTGAACCCTATACACACACACACACACACACACACACACACACAACACACATACTTTCCTACAT